CTGCTTGATTGCCAAAGTCTTAGCGCTGCGAAGTAGCTGAAGCGGTGCAAAAATTTTAAACTATTTTTCCTTCAGACTGGTCGAAATTTCGCTTATCTTAAAACGCTCTGCTCTGCTTGCCTCCCACCGCCACCTCTCCTCCACTTTTGATGCCTTCAGTCACACCTCCGTTCCTCTACCAATAGAAACGTCGTCCTAACTCGCAGACGCAATTAATAACTCACTTTTTTGTCGGTTCTGGATTGACTGCTTATCGAACACTGAGTTTCGGAGTCGCAATTTTTTTAACAGCGTCCAAATCTTTTCATTTGCTCTTATGGCGCACTTATTCAGTGGTATTGTTCTCTTTTGACGTTCAGGTGCTTGTCAAAGCCTTGGACTCACGGGCAGGACTGCGAAGGACATCGGTGTGCTTTCGACAAGCAGCCTCTACCGCATAGGAAATACGACATTCGTGTTTACGCCACAGGTAAGATAGGAAGAAGACCTTTATTGTTTGGAAATTTTCCAAAAAAGGCGCGGCAGACAGAGTTGATTTAAGGACGTCTTGCCAGAAAATATGACTTTTGTCTTCTCTTCCCCCCCTCTCAACACTGAATATCAATTTCGACGTCATTTTTGTCGGTCGTGCAATGCCTAGAGTGCTTATATGTTATGCACATTGACCATACTATTTAATTGTTTCAGCTGTGCTTCTTCCTGATCTAGTTGGTCTTGATTATGTCACGAACTGTACCCACCAATGTGGAATGTTCCGCAATTGATCAGGAGAGCTCAATCCGCTCTCTTTTCGAACCGAATAACAGTTATCCAAAAGTCACTTCCATGTCTTAACGAAATGTGTTGACCCAGATTTTGAGTTGAACTCTTCTTCGACGCCTCCGGGTGGGCAACGGCACCAGATCGAGCGCGGCAACAATGGGCTCGTAAGCTGTATGCCGAAAAACCTTTGAAAATCACTCCAGTCGTCATTCTTGAATGGTTTTAAATGCCCTTCCAATGTTGCCACAGCAAATGCGATGGTTTACTTCGGTCTCAGTGTACTTCACTCGAGGGATGGCCCTCAGGCAGCGGTCGTCAAATACCTCCAGTTTTCGCTCACCCTCTACGCGCAAAGCCCAGCACTCACAATGGTATAGGAGGACTGACCAGACGAATGCACAGTACACGCAGGCCTTCGTGGCACTAAAAATGTCGCGTCGGATCTATAAGA